GGTGGTACAGTGCTGGGGGACCAAGGAAGAGATGGTGCCGGGGTCCTACAATGATACAAAAACCACACTTCGTAATGTTTGGGGTCCTCCAGAGCTACAATTTCAAAGTGAAGGAGGTTATATGGTGCCAGTGATTGAATTCAGGTTAAGCACATACTTAACCCCTTGAGTATATATGCTCATCCACACGCAAGAAATGCCTTTTAAATTATCTGTATCATACATTTTTAAAGGGCAAGTATCTTGTCCTCTTGCATCTCCAGTCAAACATACCGACAATACAATATTCAATGAATGATTAATTCAACCTTACAGTACTTAATATTTTCTGAATTCTTTGCAAACATTTTTTTTTGGGGGGGTTCATATCTGGCTGTGCTCAGGCCTTATCCTGCACTCAAGGGTTACTCCTGACAGTGCCTGGGGAACCAGATGGGTGCTGAGATTAAACCCGGGTGAGCTGCATGCAAGCCAAGTGCCTTTACCAGCTCTAACATCACTCTAGCCCTTCAGTTATTATTTATCTTAAGAGTGCCTTAAAATAATTAAGTGAACTCAATCATGAACTTGCAAATAAAATATCAAAATAAAACTCAGATAACACTGGAAATCCAATTACTCAATTACTTATAAATAACTACTCAAACCAATTACTCAAAAATTTTTAATTATTCACAATAATCTACTTTATCATATTTCAGAATCACATGCAATTATTAGTATGATTGATTATACATGGTAATTGAATATAATCACTAAGTGTAGATTGAAATTTTTCAGCACATTTAATGCTATAAACACATTACAACTCAGATAAAATACACTTTTATTCTAAATATTAAAGGTTTACTCAGCCATATTATTAAACAAATTACTAAAAATTTAGTAATAAAAAGGCTCACTGCTAACTTTTAAAAGAAATTTCTTGAGTTATTGAATTTTCTTCTAATAAACTGAGTTTACAAGGAAGAAAATTAGTATCAAAATAAGGCCTTTATGTCACTGTCCTCCCATTGTTCATCGATTTTTCTCGACCGTGCCCAGTAATGTCTCCATCATGAGACTTTGTTATTACTGTGTTTGGCATATCGAATACATCACGGTGAGCTTGCCAGGCTTTGCCTTGTGGGTGAGATACTCTCGGTAGCTTGCCAGACTCTCAAAGAGGGGCAGAGGAATCGAACTCTGGTCGGCCATGTTGGCTGCGAAGGCCTTTATGACACTTATTAAAATATAACCCCAACGTATTAAAAATACAATTACAACCCACAAAGAGCAACAAAGAACTAATCATTCTAGAAATAAAGACTTCCTGGTAAGTCCTCTAGTTTAATTTTCAGTACCTTAACAGAAGTTAAATCCTACTCCAAAAATTTGGAATGCCACCCATCCATAAGAAATACCCAAAATTCATTTGACAAGTGGAAACAAAATCTGGCCTTATTTCAGTTCTGAGGGTCCCTCTAATGCACATGTTCGCAGTTACTGTTTTTTTCTAAAATTGATCCCTTCCCTGTTTTCCTTATTGTTCACTACTCTTTTCTTCACTACTTAGGAAACCTAGAGAAATAAAAATTCCCATTAGATATTTAAACAGTTTTATGGCAAAAGCATTATTAGAAAAGAATAAAGCTTTTACAGTGAGGGTCAAAGAGGTCATACAGCAAAGGTGTATTTGCCTTGCACCCCACGTAGGGTCACCCAAGCACTACCAGGAATGATCCCTGAGTGCAGTCAGGAGTATGCCCTGAGCACCGCTGTCTGGCCCAAAAACAAAACAAAATAAAAAAAGACTTTGAGGAACATTTTAAAAGTACTTTAACTCAACTCTAAGGTCTGGTTAATAAAGCGAATGCTTTCAATAAACAAGTGAGTACTATGTTCAGAGGCCTGTGTTTCAATCATTAATCAGTCTTGAACAGAGGCACATGCAGTTCATCCTCTGTTCTTTCTCAAGGGCATAATTCCTGTCAAAACTGATCTCAAAAATTCCATTAATGCAGATCACTAAAATACTGGATTTAATATAATCATATCCAACTTATCTAGTTTGAGATTTTCAAATCATTTTAAGGGAGAAATTTGTCATCATTAAATGTTTATTAAACTTTACTAGGTATACTTCAGAAGAGATTTAACAGATGCAGAAATGCCAGCAATCTCGATTCAGGAATGCCAAGGTTATATAATGAGAAGGTATATTAATGATTTAAAATACGTTAACATTAACTTTTCCCATAAAAGAATTCTCTTAGTTCTCCTCCATTAGTAAAACCCAGATAATTAACATATTTGTGACACATTCAAAAGGGCTAGGATGCAGCTTAATTCTCAGATGAGGGATTACTAGTGTCAGAAATATTTAGGGCCCAGAGAGATAGTACATCGGGTAGGGCGCTTGCCTTGGTTCAATCCCAGCATCCTATCATATGGTTCCCTGAGCACCATCAGGAGTAATTCCTCAGTGCTGAGCCAGGAGTAAGCCCTGACCATTTCTGGGTATGAGCTGAAAACTAGAAAATAAGAAAATTTTTTAAAGTTAGAAATAAAAATGTTTCACAAGGCATTTTCACTTCAGATGGGGAAAAAAACCCAAATAATTTCATGTAATAAAAGGCAGAAAGATGGTTTTTAGTAGATTTTGGCTACAAAAAATCATAGAATGTATAGAATTCAAAGTCTTTTTGGGTGATTTTTCTTTTTAGCATGCATACATGTTTCAGACTTCCATGGTCAAAAATAAATGATTTACTCTGCTCTGTCTCAATCTCTGCCCTCCATCTCCTTTCACCCCATCTTTCCCTAGTCCTCACTCTGTGAGGTAACTGCTTTTCTGACAAGTCACTTTTATTTCAGTTTTTGCACCATCCGCAGTGGTTGGGGGAACCAAAAACAAAAACCCTGGTTCCCACATGTAAAACATATGCCCCCACCCACTGAGCTCTATCCCTGGCCCCATCGGGTCACTTCCATGACTCACTGTTTCATAGAGGGCCTCCGAAGCAGTGCTTGGGAGCAGGGCCACTTCCAGTAATTCTTGGCCGAGCAGGTGAGATACTGCCGTAACGAGCCTGAGGAGGCAGCGGTGCTGGAGCTCTGCAGTCCACCTGGGCCACCACAGCAGTGCTGGGAGCCACTAGAGCCACTTGGTTGTGGTCTGAAGACTATGTGATGCCAAGGATTAAACTAGTCCTCAAGTCACTTTTAAGTCACAAAGACATCCCCATTCCCACCTGCTAGCATCACTATGACATACTGGGAACATGTTGAAGTAGGCAGAAAAAAAAAATCAGACCAAAAACAGAAAGGCCTGTGAGTCAGACTTAGGTAATAATCAAAATGACTTCTTCCTGAGACTAGCATGTCTTAGCCAGATTCTTTTCTCTTCTTATTTCTCCTCAACATATAACTCTACGGACTTTCACTCCATTCCTTAAATTTCAATTTCCCATATTCCAATATTTCCAGAGTTTCTTTCCTCCTCTTTTCTTCTTCAGCTTCTGCTTCCTATCTGTTGAATGACACTTTTACTTCTCCAAGTTCCCTTATCTTCTCCTCTGAATCTGTTTTTCCCCAATCTGTTTATAAATGGTTTTATAATTTGGAGGAAGGAGACATGATACAAAGACTGGTTAAGCGAAAATAATAATAATATAATAATAATAACTGTTTTCACTGAAAAAATTAAACTGAATGGTGCCCTAGTTTTTTCCTAATATATCATCTACAAAACAAATCATATTATTCAGTAATGCTGCTCACTTACTCATGAGTTAAAAAAAATGGTTTATTATTTATAACCGAGTCTACTAAAAAATGACTTAATATATGAATTCACATAGGATTATCAAAATTATCAATTCAGTGCATCTGAGTTCTTTAAAAACTGAAACAAAAACAAAAAACAGTTCAATAAGATGCCCCCTCCAAAAAAATTTTATAATCAAACCACAAAGCAAAATTCTGATATGAAGAAATTTACTAATCAAGCTATTCCCAGATTTAAACTAAGGAGCCCTATTTTTCACAAAATGTATGAATATTCCACAAAGCAGTGATGAAAGGCGAGTCCTACCATTATTTAAGCTGCAGAATGTGCAATCCTAACCATTGATTAAAATATACCATGTTAAGTGTTAAGTCTATACCCCTCCCTTTTCCCCTTCAGTGCCAAAAATCTATCTCAAAGATTCACACATACAAAGCAAGTGCTCTAACTGTTGGGCACATCATCCCTGGCCGTAGCCTAAAGAGCTTTTAAATGTTAGTTGCCTTGTGAAAAACTGAAACAGAATTTACACCGGAAGTCATTACCAGTTACTAGGTGAAAGTATCTCACCATAAATATATCATGTATACTTACTTTACCTCAGTTTATTTAAGAGTAAGTTTATTTAAAAGGTTCTTTTTTAGTTTTTTTTAGAGGGAAGGATAAAGAGAAAATTTCTTTGACATCATCATACAGAATAGAATCTTTTCTCTTTTTTTTTTGAACAAACCCAGCAAGGCATACATTTTTGTCAAGCTATAATAGCCAAGCCCTGGAACAGAACGTGTTAGAAATATTAAGACCAGATGGGGCGAGATGAGAGAACAGCAGATAGGGGGCTGCCTTGCATACGGCCACCTGAGTTCAATCCCTGACACCCATATGGTCCCCTAAGCATCACCAGGAGTAATTCCTGAGCATCACTGGATATGACCCAAAACCAGAGGGAAAAAAAAAGAAAGAAGAAATACTAAGACCAGAGATTGTTCTCACTTCCCCTGCATTGTACTGTTTGATTTTTTTCTCATAGGAGTGGGAAAAAAATTGGATTTTATGACTTATAAAACCTAACAAACAGCGAGGCATGTTTTTTATACAGACATTTTCTGATGGCTTCCTATATAATTCAAAAATGATGAAAATATATTTGTCAGTGTTCCATTTAACTTGCATTATGAATGATTAGCTTTGCAGATTTTGAAGAGCGTATTTTTAAATACACATATTTTACCTGAAAGCTCCATAAAGTGGTCTGTACCAACAGACAAATGAACAAGGAGTAAAAAGCAAGAACCACAGGATACTCAATCCGAAATCAACCCCTCTTGCAGGATCAACACAAAACCACGCCAAGCATCCGAAGATATTTAGAAACAGTGTCACAGCGTGGACTGTGGAATCAAAAACAAAATAGAAAAGTTTACATTCCATTCAGAAGTTCATGCAACAAAAATTACAACTGAAAACATATACTTCCTATAAGTGAATGGGCTATACCGCATGTATCCATTCAGTATTTTTCAAAACACCCGTTACTCATACACATTTGTTTTGAAAACATTTACACAGGAAAATGATTCTTAATACGAGCACTGTTTGGCAAAAGTTCTTTTGGCCCTCTCCTAATGTGTTTATTTATAACAAAAAGACACTACTGAAAATATGTCAATTTTCCGACTATGTATTAACAACTAGACAAAAACAAAGCTACACAAAGAACTACCTTATAAGCTCCTTCTGTGAGCAGGAAACATCTGATGTGTCTCCTGATCCAAGGATCAAGAAGAAAAATAGTGCCTGCTTAACCCAAGTTCTGGAACATTTTAGAGAAGAACCAGAACTTGGGGAAGGAAGATGGCACATGCAGAACTATGTATTTTCACAGAGTGGCTCCAGAAGGAATCTGAGAGAGGCACTACAACCAGAGAAGCAAGCACCCTATGCAATCTCACTCTAACCTATTTAAGCCATTAATTTTATTGGACTAGAAAGACTTAGCAGCAATTTTTAGTAACTACAGAGCCAATCTAAAAGGGTTATTAATTCACTTTTACAAAAATTACTCATTTTATTTATTTTGGATAATACCCAGTGGTATTCTGAGTTATTCCTGGAGTTCCTGGGGGCCATGCAGTGCCAGGACGGAACCCAGGTCTTCTGCATGGACAATATATGCTCCAGCCCCACCCGTTTTTTAAAAGTCTTGGAATAAAATTCGTTGTATTAATAGACATTAAAAACTTAACGTCAGAATGTGAAAGTGCGCTATGATGCAACTCAGTTGCTGTGGCAGATCTTTTAGTTCAGGCATTACTGTCTTAAAACATTTGACATATGTTTTTAATAATGACTTTCCCTAATAGGTCAAAACTTCTAATCACACCAAAATGTTAAAGAACCACATTTACCCTACAGTTAGGAATTTTTTAGAGGTTTTGTAAAAAATTATTCACAAGTTAACTGTAGAAAATAAACTCTTTTTGACATCGAAAGCAATGTTCAAGGTAAATTATCAACATAAATATATATATAAATATAAAAATTTATCAACATAAAAATACATCCACAAACTATGTGATTTTTTTTTCCCCGTGGCAAAATGAAGCCAGGGCCACACAAAGCAAGTGCTCTACCAATAAGCTACACCACAGCAACAAACTACTACTTGAATTTAAAATAATAAGTAGAGGGATCAGAGAGATAATACAAGAGGAAGGGCATTTGCCTTGCATGCAGTTTACCCAGGTTTGAGCCCTAGCACTGCATGTGGTTTCCCAAGCACTACCGGGAGAAATTCCTGAGGGCAGAGCCAGGGGTGACCCCTGAGCATCGCTGGGTGCAGCCCAAAGAACAAAAAAATAATAGCAATAAAACTTAGTGAATCCAAATTTAAAATTTCACCATGTATTTATAACTAAATTATAAAAAAATGAAACAGAATTAAGCACACATTCAATGATGCCGCTACATTTGCTTACCCCTCGGAAAATGCACAAACTCTAAAAGAAGCTTCAGAGGAAAAGTGAAAACATTTGGGTTATAGAGAGAATACAATGAACTAATCAACCTCTGTGTGCTTCAGTTTCTCAAGGAGTTTTTCCAGCTTTAAAATTTCACTCAATTCTACTACAGAAGAGAACACTGATATTTATTTTATAGTAATATTTCTAAGAGTTTCAGTCCCTTTATAAAGTAAAATTTTGCTTCAATAAATGTAGTTCTGAAAGCATATTCTTAATCACATTTAGGTTAAAACATGTTACCGTCCTCATATTGGTACTTGATAGATGGTCTAACATAAAAATACAGATTCTGGAGTCAAGCTGTACAACTTCACTATCACTTCCTGTATAACCTTAAACTAAATGTGTTATCAAATTAGAATCCTCTAATTCCCTACCTATAAAACTAGGTCACATATAGTAAACATGTGTAAAAATTTACATATATAAATTATATTTATAGGATTTGCTGATAATATACATGTGATGAGCACTGTACCTGATCCTAAGTAAATCCTCAATAAATGCTATCTTTCACTAATAGTAACTTCATTAAAATAGCATATCTATTATGAAATTTAAAGATCAGACTGACCCGCTACTAGATATTATCTTCTCTTAGGTAAATGATTCTTCAAATCAGATCTACCCTAGAAACTTTATTGGGGGTGGAGGTTGCTGGGAGGAGAGATGTATCTATTTGGCTGCTAACCTAAAATTTTAGCTCTCTTTTGAATACAATTAACAAAAATGGCAACCGAACATGGCTATGAAAAACGATAACCAACTGTATAATTCCGAGGCCTCAGAAAGTGACATATTTCTAATTTTAAAAAACTATTTTGAAATTAACATCATTAATGAAACAGCTAACCATTCAATTACAATTATCTTCACCATTCAATTTCTATTTAATTTCAAATTTCTTAGAGAATTTCTTCATGCTCTATCTCATCCCCCAAAAAGTATTTTTCACTAAGTCAAAGAAATTTTACCTAAAAGTTAGGACAATTTCTTCTCTTAATAATAACTAATTACATATGCACATGTATTTTATAATGTATTGATTATAGTGTTAGCATACAAATACATGTAACTAACACTTAATATTAAAAACATGCAATACTACTGGCACTAGGTCTTTAGAAAAAGTAGTATTGATGACAAAATTTCAAAAAGAAGCTAACAGCTACAAATTTACTGAGGGAAGAGAGAATAAGGGGTTTAAGGGACTAGTCTGGCATGCAGCTGATTCATGTTGAGTCCCTTACATCACACCTGAGCATCACCTGGTACAGCCTCTGAAGTCCCCAAGAACAGCCAGGTGTGACCCTAGTGGACACCAAGCCCTGCTGGGGTGTTTAGGTAACACCTGGCAGCACAAGGCCTGAGCAGCACCACATTCTCCCTTCTTCACATAGAACCTCTGGCCCAACTGGCCAAGTGTTGCTGGTCAGGACCCTTGAACCTTCTGAGCACCACCTGGGAAGCCACCCCGGCCCCTAGCAAAAATATACCAATGATATACTAATGTTAATGAATCACTTCCATCATTCCAAAGCAACTTCACATATTTAAGTGTTCCTTAAAATAATATTTAGAGAGAGAAAATTCGGCTTCCTAATCTTATTAATCCATCAAGAATGTACACTACAAATTACCTTCTCACCTGGCAGCTGACGGGAGAGACGTTTAACTGTAACCACCTCTCCCACTGAAATAATGATATTAAATAGGGCTAAGAGTATTGTTTGTAATAAATCTGAAACAGAGGAAAGAGGGGATTCTATGTACATACAGCCTGACACTTTAGTGTTCTGTATGTTGTAATTATAGTCAAAACAATGTGCGCAACCTTACCTAAAATATATATCCTAACATTCTATTAAATCAAATATCCTATGTTAGATTCTTTCAGTAATAAAATTATTCAACACTACTAGAAAATAAAAAGTTAGCTGTGCTTAAAACTTAAAAAAAATGGTGCTTAAAGTTGGAGCAATAGTACAGCAGGTATGACATTTGTCTTGCGTGCAGCCTACCAGGGGTTCGATCCCCACCATCCCAAATGATCCTCCGGGCTACAGAGTGCACAGCCAGGAATAAGTCTTGGGCACACTTCTAGGTGTGACCCAAAAATAAACAAAAACCTGCTTATAGGGTCAGAGAGAACGGGGAGTTAAGATTATGCACTGCATTCAGTTGATTTCACTTTCATTCCTGCACCCCATATGGTACCCCAGACATTGCCAGGAGTGACCTGAGCACAGAGTCAGAAGTAAACCTGATCACTGCTGAGTGTGTTACAAGAACCAAAAAAATCAGCTAATTACTAAAACAAAATTGTGTAGGAATTATAATTTTAATATTACATCATGTTATGCCCCTTTAGAAAAGCAGTCATGAGCTAGGGAAGGTAACACAGGGATGGAAGTATTTACCTTGCATACAACCAACAATCCCCAAAATGAATAGAATCCCCCAAGTATTGCTGGATGTGATCTAAAAAAATCCCTCAATAAACAAATTAAAAGGCAGTCAAAAATTATAAAAAGAATTTTAACAGCCTTCACTTGCATAAAACTACTGGTCATAATTTCTTCAAAGCAAATACTGCTTAGATAATATTTTTTCAAAGAGAAGAATCATTGCTAAATTCTAACTATATTATGAGAAGTTCCTTCCTCACGCGAAATGCCATCTTGGGCCAGAGCAATAGCACAGTGGGGAGGGCATTTGCCTTGCATGTGGACTACCAGGGTTGGATCCCCAGCACCCCACATGGTTCCCTGAGAAAGGCTAGGCATGATTCCTGAGTGCAGAGCGAGGAGTAACCTGTGCACCAGGTGTGGTCCCTCTACTCCCAAAAATTAAGAAGGAAATGTTGGTTAATTACATACTTTGTTACACATGGCATAATTCTGAAGTACCTAAATATGATGTCTCTGAAAATCAAGAGATATAGAACAAGTTCTTAATATGAGTTTAAAATTGATTTTTGAAAACAAAATATGAGCTTGAACAAGTATATAATTCAGTCTATACTTACACATCCATAAGTAGTACATAATCTTCACTGTCTTTTGGAATTCTACAGGAATGTCTACAGAAAAATCCTGATAAAAACAAGGTCCCACAGGAAAATTGTCAGGAAGAGGTGGCCAGTTATTTTTTCTGCCTGCAAATTAAAAGAAAAAAAATAATCTACATTAACAAAAAGAATTTTCTTCTGCTTAAGAATTTTTTTCAATACTGAGAATCAAACAGCTCCTCACACAAGCAAGTCATGTGCTTGACTTCTGAGCCACTTCCCTTAGGCAATAGCCCATATGTGCTATTCTTATTTTCTGTATCATAGAGTATGCATTCCTTTTCAAGGATATTTTACAAAAATAACACTGTGTCTCTACATTTCTGTACAAAAGTTAAAATTGGTGCTTTTAAGTTTTTTTCAGAGAGTATCACTATAGAATATATGAAAGAATCTGCTAGTATCACACGCATACATGTATAAATAATGCTCATCAGGAATTATGAACAGTTCAAAGTAGAAGATAAAAAACAAAACAAAACATGTGGCTGGGGACGTGACTCATCAGTTGGGGAGCATGTGACAAGGCCCTGGGGTTTAACTCTGGCACCAATATAAATAAGCACAGACATATCCTCTGACCCTGTCCCACGTAGCACTCATGTAGAGGCCAAGCAGTTTTAAAATCTCTACAATTTCCTCTTCATCTTAAATCTTTATGTATATTGTAATTCCTATCCAAAGTGAAGAGGAAAAAGAAGTTTTTTATTTTAATATTGTGATTTTTCTGATAACTCCATAAACAGATTAACCAATAAAAAAATCAAATACAGAAATCTCAGTCTAAAAAAAATATATCCATAATACACACGTAAAAAATTCAGAAAACTATGAGGAAACATCTGACAAGAACTAGGTGCTGGAAGAAGATAAAGTGATATTCATGATTCCCTTTCAGTAACAGCACTGCAAACCACAGTGCCTAAAAGGAAAAGTGCAAATCGAAGGTTGAGGGGCAGAGAGAAACAGGGACATTGGTGGAAGAAAGTGTACGCTGTGAAAGGATGGGTGCTTGAACACTGTACAACTGAAACTCAGTCATGAACAACTCTTGTAACTGTATATCACAGTGATTCAAATAGAAAAAACTATTTTTAAAAGAATTAAGAAAATAAGAAAGAAGTTAAGGAATTAAGGCAGTTTCAAAAACTTGAAGGAAAAGTTGAAGCTATGAGGAGTGGAAATGGATTATATAAGAAAATTACACAAAAAATAATTAGGGAAAATAACAGCAAAAATTTAAAAAAAAACTAAAAGAATAACTTTACAAAAGGGTAAATATAGTAATTACAGCCATTTTCTAATTTTAGTTATTAAAAATCACAACTTAAATAAAAAACCTCTTGGGAAGCTCAGATAGAGAAGAGAGCACCAAATAAAGGGTGTTGTGAGGATCCCCGCAGGGTGGGAGAAGCATGCTGAAAGTAGTCTATAGACCAAACATGATTGCCACTCAATGCCTCTCTTGTAAAACACAGTACCCAAAAGAAGAGAGAGAGAACAAGGGGGAATGCCCTGCCACAGAGGCAGGGTGGGGCAGGGGGGATGGGGGATGGGAGGGATGCTGGGACCAGTGGTGGTGGAGGATGGGCACTGTGGAGGGATGGGTACTTGATTATTGTATAACTGAAACCCAAGCACAAAAATTTGTAAGTCTATAACTGTACCACATGGTGTTTCACTAATAAAAAAAAAATTAAAAAAAAAAACCTCTTGGACATTTTTAAGGATCGAATGAAATTGTGAATGTGAAACCAGTTTAAGGTGAAAAACAAAAAACAAAAACTAAACTCAGCTGCCGGATGTCGGATGCTTTTCAAACAACTGGAGAGGGTTTTAAGAGTGTCTGCGTGGGGAAAATGAGGTCTTCTACTAGAGGTTGAGGGATGTACAAAGAGAAGGCAGCATAGCGTGTCTGTGCAAAGGGACCTGTTGGGAGCCACGATGAAGAATTCCACTTTAGGGATTTGCCAGAGAAAAAACGCTGGAAATTAAGTATGCATTAAAGGTCTATATGCAGCAAAAAGACAAAAAAAATTAGATTTTTACATACTTCTTAAAGATGAGAGCAATACAGTCTATTTGATTCTCCCCAACAATATGCCTCCAGCATTTAAAATTCTTTTTAAACTTCAAGTGGTTCCTACATTTCTCAGACTGTCTGAGAAGCAGCAGTGAACAAAAGAACAAAGACTCAGAAACTGCGTGCCTCCTCTCTCACGGGGTAGGAGGAGGCTGGGAGCAAACCTAAAGATTGTTTCTACCACTAGCCCCCCTCCACAGACTATACTAAGAGACTCCCACCCTTAATTAACTACTTGAACTACAACATCTTTCCTAGGAAAAAACTTAAATTAGTCAGTCCTAAAAAAATAGGTCATATTTTAGTTACTGACATTTTAAAAATAGTGAGCTCAACCTAAATCGTTAGTTTCTTCTATTATAGATGTTTTCTGATATTGCAAGGCAAGAAAATGGCGCAGAGTAAACATGTCCTCAAGTGGTCTGTATACATTCTAAGAAGAAATCATTGTTAAGTCTTTTTTTTTAATTTTATTGAATCACCGTGAGATAGTTATAAGCTTTCATGTTTGGGTTACAATCACACAATGATCAAACACCCATCCCTCCACCAACACACATTCCCCACCACCAATATCCCTGGTATACAGCCCCCTCTCCCCGTCCCACTCTTCCCCTGTGTCTATGGCAGACAATATTCCCCATACTCTCTCTCTACTTTTGGGTATTATGGATACTGAGAGGTTATCATGTTTGGTCCATTATCTATTTTCAGCACACATCTCCCATCCCGACCGGTTCCTCCAGTCATCATTTTCTTAGTGATCCCTTCTCTATTCCAGCTGCCTTCTCCCCTTTGCTCCTGAGGCAGGGTTCCAGCGCCACAGAGCAATCTTCCTATCCTGTGTATCTGCTACCCTTAGGTGTCAGCCTCACGGACTGCACACATCTGTGGAGTATAAAACATCAGTTAGTCTTATCACTTTACCAGACTTCCTAATCCAGATTTATCATTCCTTCTTACTCCAAGGCTGAACTTGCCCTAAAGATACTCCTGGTTATCACAGTCTGAACAGATTTCAGAGCAAATAATTAATTCATTTTACTACACTTTGACATCATGGAAATAATCTAGGCTTCCTAGAGTGATCACTTTTTTTTTTAATGTTTCTCAGAAACGCTAAGAGGATGAGGCAGACAATCTAGAACTGATTAGAATAAATCAGAGGTTAAGAATCAACATCAGTCCTACATTAAATTAAGAAATTTCTGCACTGCAAAGGAAACAATGACCAGGATACAAAGACAGCCACAGAATGGGAGAAATTACTTAGGAGCTAATATCAAAGATACAGAAGACTCTGGTAGAACTTTACAAGAAAAAACAACCAACCCCCACCAAAAAATGGAGGGGAGAGATGAACAGAAATTTCCTCAAAGAAGAAAACACAAATAGTCAAGAGGTACGTGAAAAAAATGATCTGCATCAGTAATCATCGGGGAGATACAAATCAAAATAGTAATAAGATACGATCTCACACCACAGAGACTGGCACACATAAAAAAGAACTAGTGCTGGCACAGATCATGATCATGATCATCCTGTTGTTCGTCAATTGCCTCGAGCAGACACCAGTAACATCTCCTTCGCCCTAGCCCTGAGATTTTAAAAAGTGCCATATTCAAGGGTCTTTCAGGGTTAGGAGAATGAGACCCATCATTGTTACTGATATTTGGCATATTGGGTATCCCACGGGGAGTTTGCCAGACTCTGCCATGTGGGCAGGTTACATTCGGTAGCCTGCCAGGTTGTCCAAAGTAAGAATGAGATAATTAGATGTCGCACGGCTGCAAATGCGGCTGTGCATCTCCGGGAGCTGGGTTTTATAGTCTCTGGGTCTTGGCCGTTAGATGCAGGGAGGAAATAACTCTCATACTCAATACTGGTAGGAATGTCAACTGGTACAAGTCCTTCTGAAAATAATATGGGCATTCCTAAAAAAAATTTAGAAATTGAGCTTCCACTTGACCCAGCAAGAGAGAGAGAGAGAAAGAGAAAGTGCCTGTCAGAGGCAGTCTGGAAAAGGGGGGGTGGGGGGGTGGCTGGAGGGAAACTGGGGTCACTGGTGGTGGGAAATGGACACTAATGGAGGGGTGGGCGTTGGATCATTGTATGACTGAAACCCATTTATGAAGAGAGCTTTGTATCTCATGGTGACTCATTAAAAAAAACTAACTGATTTATTTAAAAAAGGAAATCTACTGTCTAATCTCGTTAGGAGAAAGAAAAACAGGGCAGGAATTTTCTGCAAAACAAATGTTTCACAGAGTTAGTGTAGATACAACTTAAAGTTTCTGCAAGTTATTTTAAATTTAAACATCTTAGAATCCTACTACCATGTTGACTGAGGTTCTGCATTTCTCGCTCTCGACGATCTAATTCTGCTGCTTTTCTTTCTAGTTCTTCCTGGCGCTTAAGAAGTTCAGCCTGAGCCAAGGCATGCTCCTAAACAGAAAATAGCAAGTTAGAAGTATAAAATACTGTAACTACGGTATATCCTATGCGAAGTTTTTTTTCAAATGCTTTCAAAATAATAGGAAATCACTGAAGATAAAAATTTCAAAAATTATTATGAAGACACTGGGCCCATTTTTATCTCATTTATATACAAGTCCTCAGTGGAAATGCTGAGGACATAAGGACAAGAAAAAAAATCTCTCAGTAACAGTGCTAAGGTAATTGGAATAACAAAATTAACAGAATCTATACACATGAAAAACAGAACAATTGAGGAAAACAGATGAGAGAAAACAAAATAAACTGTCTCTTAAGTGGGATAAACGGTAGTTAGGATACCCAAATGTGAAAAAGAAATGCAATACCTTATTTTCAGTAAGATAATGAGCAAAAAGAATATCTTAGTAATTTGGGGTTTCATAATTTTATTTGCTTTTAAATAATATCAGGCATCTATTCATCAATATTGTTCTTATATTCTCCCACCTCAAATTTCCTACCACTGTCTCTTGCTTAGCCAGAAAACTCTCTCTCAAAAAAAATGTACTTTTCTATTGCTGCTATTTTAATGGTATTGCACATTAAATAGTGAAACCAAAGGGGAAAAAAATCACAATATAAAGACCCGGATAACATATGAATTCAGCAATGCTAATAATGAGATACAGCAAATGCTATCAGGTAAAAAAGACTATTAGTGTTGATGAGCAGCTAGCTCAAATTCATGAGTAAAGTTAAAAAGTAACTAGGGGGGTGGGAGAGAGAGCTCAATGAACGAGAGCAAATGCTGTGCACAGAGGCAGCTGGGTTCAATCAATCTCCAGCAACATCTGGTTCCCCCACAAATTACATGAGTGACCCTTCATACAATTCACGCTATGGAAGAAGTGCAGCCCAAAAGACAAATTAAAATTTTATTTTTAGTGTTCTGGTTTTGGAAGCACACTCAGCAGTGCTTGGAGCCTACTCTTGGCGGTGTTCAGGGATCACTCCTGGAACTGCTCTGGGGACCATGTGTGGTGTCAGGAATCTAACCGGGGTCTGCCACATGCAGATAAGCACCTTAACCTCTGCAATGTCTCTCTGGCCTCCCCCAATTATTATTTTTTAAAATTAACAAATAAGAATTGTATGAAGAACTATTTTACTCTTAAAGCAAATATTATGAATATTGTCATTTCCTGTGTGAATTCACATGTGTAATATGCACTGACCTTTGCAATCTGTGTATAAGCTGGATGTTCCTCTGTTGGTTTCATTATTGCTGGCTGTGTGCTGGGTACATTAGGCATTTTCACATTGCCAGGTGGAGGCTAAAAAGATTTTAAAAAGAATAAATGACATGAACACAGGTATACAACTTCAACTTCTTTTAAGAGCTATAAACACCAATAAAAAATAAAATGCTAGAAACTGCTTTTCACCACCCGCCCCCCACCCCTTCCTTCAGTAGTCAAGTGTGTGGCGAAGAACCTCGTAAGCGCTCCTCTTTCTTCTACTTACTCATCTCGATTCCTCAATCTGCACAATACCTCTAGCACTACACCAAAAACATTCTCCTCCTCCAGGATACTACATATAACAAACAAAATCTTTTGTTTTCATTTCCTTTTGTTTTCATTTCCTTTTGTTTTTATTTCCTTTTCAAAAACTAGAAAGAGCCTTGAACTAAAAAATTCGCATCAAGTTAAACTGTCAATTCTCACTTAAGAAAGCTACATGCCAATGCCCTGGAAAGATTATGAGCACTCAGGAGATGGAGAAGTGGTAAAGTGATAGAGCATAGGCCATGAATGGGCAAGGCACTGACTGAGATGCGGGGGCCGGTGGCCCCGGGAGGACATCAGGTGCGACCTCACAGCAACAAACACTTTTTTTAAGGAAAGTAAACAGACAGCTCAAAGCAGAATTCTAAGAAAAGAGGCCCTAGGGAAAAAGAAAATAAAGTGCATAATTCCATCTTGTTAACCAAGATTAGCAGTACTGGAAAGTATCAAGATTTAAGAACAAATCAAGTAATTTTTACCAGTTCATTAAGGGAGAATTAAGTTACTACTGGTATCATGTATGCATACACAAAAGCAGACATCAAAAGGTCTGGGTAGAACTTTTAAAAAACTGTCTTTTTGAACTCTAAATGAAATAAGGCAGAAGTACACATATGCACAAACAGCCTGCTTTTCTTCTGCCTGTGCCAGAAAAATACCTGGAAGGTCTCAGCAAACTGCTATCAGAGGAATCTGTACTTCGCCTTTTCCCTTTTAAACACACTTCTATATCACTGCCTTCTCTTCTCAATATTCTATTTTTTTATTATATTTATTTATTTTTTAATAGTGAGGCACCATGAGGTACAGTTGTAGACTTACACATTTTTGTGCTTGGGTTTCGATTATACAATGATCAAACACCCATCCCTCCACCAGTGCGCATTTCCCACCACCACGGATCCCAGCATCCCCTCCCCCCCAGCCCCCAACCCACCCTGCCTCTGTGGCAGGGCATTTCCCTCTCTCTCCTTTTGAGTGCCATGGTCAGCAAAAGAGGCACTGAGTGGCAATCATGCTTGGTCAACAGTCTACCCTCAGCATGCTCTCCCATCGTGGGCGGATCCTCCCAACACCCTTTATTTGGTGTTCCCTTCTCTTTCTGAGCTCCCTTTTCCCCTAACATGTGTGGTTGTCCTCCGGGTCATTGAGTAAAATTCCTGGTACTAATCTCTGCCATACTTGGGTGTTAGTTTCCTATTTTGTTACTTTATGTTCCCCAGATGAACTGGCCCATATCCACAAGAACAAAAGCAACCGGTGCTGGCGCGGATGTGGTGAGAAAGGGACACTCCTTCACTGTTGGTGGGAATGCCGACTGGTTCAGCCCTTCTGGAAAACAGTATGGATGATTCTCAAAAAACTAGAAATTGAGCTCTCATTTGACCCAGCAATACCACTCCTGGGAATATATCCCAGAGAGGCAAAAAAGTATAGCCGAAGTGACATCTGCAATTGTCTGTTTATTGCAGCACTCTTTACAATAGCCAGAATCTGGAAAAAACCTGAGTGCCCGAGAACAGATGACTGGTTGAAGAAACTCTGGCACATTTACACAATGGAGTACTATGTAGCTGTTAGAAAAGACGAAGTCATGAAGTTTACATACAAGTGGTACTACATGGAAAGTATCATGTTAAGCGAAATGACTCAGAAAGAAAGGGATAAACATAGAAAGATTGCATTCAATATTCTATTTTTAAGCTAAAAAAATTTACTCTTTCAACCGGTTGTAAGAAGACAAAGAAAGGAAGCAGAGGGGGGGAGTGAGGAGAGGAGCTCAAAGCACAGACAGAAAAAGGAAAGACAGAGGGAGGAAGTGGGGGAAGAGGGCAAGAAAGCATGCCAGCAAGCAGCTATAATAAGAAACTCAAAAATCTGAAAAATCACCAAATCAGAAGACACCACTAATACAGAAAGAGCATAAAACCCTACACGATGCATGTTTGATCTCCAACAGAGGTGACAGTATGAAATAGTAAATAAGTATTAGCATGTGTCTATTTTTTTTTTTTAGGGAAAACCGATTACTCAAATTAAAACATTGAAGTAAATTTCCCATTAGACACTATATATAAAGTTAATAGCTTGCTTCCCATAATCACATATGGTCCCCCTACCATTGTGGCACAGAGCTAATAGTACTATAGTATTACACCTAAGCACTGCCAGGTGTAGTCAAAAAAAGTAAGTCTTACGGTAGGTTGATAATTTAGAAGCCAAAAATTAAAACACTACAAGGAAAACACACATGAAGATTTTTATGAATTCAGGGTATGTAAGAACTCCTCCACTGTAGTCTCTAGAAATCTTTGATTATGATGTACCTATAACTACATGAAATACAAAAGTGCTCAATAAGTATTTATTAAGGTTAAAAACATAAGAATCACACAAAATTCAAATTCGGTAATAGAGAAAAGTCAAGAACACACAAGGGTTGGGGGCTAGAGAGAGAGCACAGCAAGTAGGGCATTTGCCTTGCACATAGCCGACCCAGGTTCAATTCCCAGCATCTCATATGGTCCCCTAAACACTGCCAGGGGTACCTCCTGAGTGCAGAGCCAGGAAAAAAAAACACAAGGAAAAACTGGTTATAAAATTTACAACAAAATATATCCCAGAATACATGGCAGGCCATTATCATTTCACATAATACAGCCAGAGAAAATGAGCAGAAAATATGAATAAAGAATAAAAGAAACAAATTATCACTAAAGATAATGATTACAGAACGATCGAATCTAATCAGTAATCCAAGTGAAAAGCAATGACATACCACTTCATAATTACTGAAAACAAAAAGGGGAAATACTAAATAAAGCATATCCTCAAGAACAATTCATATGTTGGAACAGAAATGACTATCAATAAATGCTGCTAGGATACTTAAGCATCCATGGGGGTTGGGGGATCATATTTCTTTATCTTATTAGATTCCAAAAGAATTAAAACCAAATGTAAAAAAATTAACCAGATTTTGTATAGTATCTTTAGAATACAAGAATGTCCTAGTATGTGTATGTGTATATACATATATCCAAATATGTGTGTGTGTGTGTACACACACACACACACACACACACACACACACACACATTGATACATGTATCTGGGGATAAGATATTGAAATGCCATTCTAAACATTTAGGAGGCAAGGCAAAAGAAACCCCACAAAAGTGAAATATTTGACTAGATAAAAATTGAGAGCTCTGTGGATATAAAAGTTAAAAACCAAGATGATAAGACAAAGTCTCAATCAGTGGGGCCAGAGTGATAGAACAGCAGGCAGGGCCCTTGTCTTACAAGTGACTGGTTAAATCCTCAGTACACTAATGATCCCCCAAGCCCCTCCAGGAGCACCTAAACTCAGAGCCCTGAGCACCACTAGGTATGGTCTGGTCCACCTATAGGAAATAGGAAACCTAAACAGGAAATTACAAGCAAGGAAACTGGAACAGAAATCAAATGTTCCTCCAAAACAGAAGACCAGGTCCAGATGGTTTTACTATAGAGTTCCAGCAAAACTTCAAAGATAACCTACTGCCTACATATTCTTTTCAAGCTCTTCCCATGGAAGGGATCTCTTCCAAGCAGTTTTTTTTGGGGGGGGAAAGGTAGGGGAGTTGGGGCCCTACCTGGTGATGCTCAGGGACTATTCCTGACTCTGTACTCAGTAATTACTCCTGACAGTGCCAGGGATCTGAATGGGCCACATGCAATGCAAATGCCCTACTCTCTGTACTATATCGCTCTAGCCCCCCAAACATTTTTCTTTAAAGAACAAAATTATTCTGATACCAGAATCAGAGAGATATCACAAAAAAGAAGAGTAATCTACATACCACTATCCCTAAAGAACAGTGAAAGCAAAGATCCTCAACAGAATTTTAACAAAATTCAACACATTAAAATGTTAGTATATGAATCAAAGAGATCAAAGGGCTGAACACATGCTTTGCATGTAAGAGGCTCAGAGTTGATCCCTAGCACTACATGCATCTCAGGAAGTAACTATCCACCACGGAAGCGCAGAACCAGAAGTAGTATGAGTAGTCATTGAACACTGTTTGATGAGGTCCAAAACACAAAGGTCCAAAAATTAAGAAATAAAAGGATCACACAGCATAACCATGTGGAACTCACATCAAGGAAGCAAAAACTGTTGAACATGCCACGAACATTAACAAAAACAACAAAATACAACATTCTTATTACCATAAATGTAGAGATTACTTTCGACAATATATAATACCTATTCATCTTTTCTTGGCCTATTGGCTAAGATCAAGTGTAGTACCTATTCATGATTTAAAAAATGTTTAATGCTCAATAAAATGGGGATTGAAGAAACATCTCAGAATAAAGGTCATATACAAGAAACCCATAGTCAATATCATGCTTAGCAGTAAAAAACTCAAAAGTTTTTCTTCTTTTTTATTTTTGAGGCGGGTCACACAGAGCAGTGCTCAGGGCTTACTCTTAGCTCTACACTCAGGGTTCACTCCTGGCAGTCCCATATGTGGTCTGGATTGAACCCAAATTAGTCACACATTCAAGACAAGTGCTGTACCCGCTGTACTAATGCTCTGACTTGAAAGCTTGTCTTCTAAGATCAGATATAAGACAAATATATAATTTCCACCACTATTGTTCAACATAGTTATGAAAATTTCAGCCATAATTTGACCAAAAATAAATAAGACGTTCCAAACTGGAAAAGAAGTACTAAATTTATCACTATTTTCAGATGATATACTCAGAAA